GGGAAAGTGCTTACTTATCGTTTTCAACGAATCAACGTCAACACTCGATGTTGATTCGTTGATTCTAAAAGTAAGAGCCAATCACATTCGATTGCTACTAAGCAATTTTCTCTGTTGAACGCGACCATTGGTCATGTGTTATTGTAGATATATTCTGTCAGTTCTTGTTGAAATCTTTCGATTATAACTCATAAATCGGCTATTTCCGGACATATGTTTATATGATTTTTTTCTTGTTTTTGTATGGAGAACTCACCCTCAAAATTTGTTGAAATATTCCTGAAACGCTCTGTATAATAAGTTGAACGAGTTCCGAGATGTTGTATTTCATCCTTACGTTTCATCGCGCGTCTCGGCCCTTAACTGCGTCTGCGGGATCACGAAGCATGCTGTTTTATTAGCCGGCGAATGGACGGTCTCGTCGCATCGCTTTACACCTTGGACGATTCGTACATATTTTTATTTTTTTCTCGAGACGATAAATCAACCGCGCGCAACGCAAGTCCGGCGAAAAGGCTATGGCGGAGGACTGATGATACGTTATTACGCGGATGCCGAAAGACATTTAAACGAACGACGTGAAAAGGAAAAAGCTTACCCCATATGCCCGGATCGTCGAAGCAACTGTGATGATTCGACACGGTAATGAGCGGAACGTTTTTCGGCCGGAGGTCTAAGGCGCGCACGATAATGTGCTTGTTGTATACCGTCGTTTTGTTCAGCCATTCTTAAATGCAGAAGATAAATTCTTTGTTAGATTACACATCGCAGAGCATACTCACACGGAGTCGTAGTGTATAGTCCAGAGTCCGCGGAAAGGACTCACCTTGGTTTCAGCCTGACATGAGATGCCTGACACAAAAAAAATCAGATTCGTAAAAAAAAAATCGGGTTCAATCGTCGCGTTTCAATCTTCAAAATCGAGAATGCTTCGATAATTCGTTAATTCGAAATATTTGGCGCGTAAATTAATTGAATACTCTACGCAGAAATGATAACCGCAAACTTCCTTGAAAAATGTTTCCATTGCTTTATTGCCTTATATTAACTAATTATAATTATACATAATTACACGCTTCGTTTACAATCGTAAATGGATGGAATTACACAATAAGTTAATGACGGTTAATTACAGATAAAGTTAATGATAGCTTTGATAATGAATAGTTCGTTACAAACAAATAGCACAAGATTACTCTTTAAAAAGCGTAATTTATTTATTTATTAGATACGGAAAAAAATCCCTTTAGAGTTTTATACAAATGTGTAAATATAAAGTGATACTAAAACAGAAAAAAAAGAAAAAAGAAAAAGAGAAAAAATAGAAAAACAAATAATGCAATAAAGATCGAAAGTCGACATCTTGTTATTAAAGTACATGCTAAATTACCACGATTTTCATTCGATGTTGCAAGTCAGAAAACGTATAAATGACATTTGTATATATCTGCGATGCATATGCATGAATTAACATAATTTTGTTTTCATTTCAAATGATATTACCATGCGAATAAATGTCATGCACAAAAAAACAACCAATAGACTTTGCTTCATTGCTTCATAGCTTTTAATTATATATATATATGTGTATATATCATATCATATAATTATATTTCATTGAAAGGTCAATAAAATAAATGTTATTGTTATGCAAATATTAATACCTGGAAATATACGAAATGCATTTTAAAAAAGTTCAGTAATACATAATCAAATCTCGTAATTAAGTGTCCGTGCAAAAATTATTTTATTCATATTTATCTTTACTATTTATCACGTGCTTATTTTTATTAAATCGTATGTTTTCATTTATTATAAATTATATTGATATCACATTATAATTTATTGAAAAATATATAAACATCACACTTTTTTGTAAAATTGATTCTGTAAAAAATGTATTTTATTCTAAATAATATGTTAATAAATATGTTAATAAGTATGTTAAAAAGCAGGATAAAAAGAAATATTGTATAGCTAAAATTGGTACAAAATCGCTTAAATCAGATTATGTAATGAATTTTATATGCTAATCAAAGGTTATCAAAGACTATCAAGGATGCACATAGCCTGTTTTGAAATAAAATATATGTTCATTATACACATTAAATATGTTTAATATTACACGAGAAAGACAATAATGTTGCTAGTAGACATGTATGTGTATATACATAAAGTCCATTGGACAAGCAGTGATCTGTATTACAATTAAGCACAATGATTGATGACGACACAATGACTCTGATCTTTCTCTAGCGATTGATATTGACAGATAAGGCTTATTTCAATCATAGCTCGTACGTCACGTGCTGTAATTGTATCGCGTATGTATATTTTTCAATTTTATTTTTTATAAACAACGTCGTGTTTTCGATTCACGAATGGTACATACGTGTCGCGATGGTAAACGATCACGCCCGTATATTTCCACGCGGCACAACGGGCACCGTCAATGTCAACCAATGTAACGAGATACCATAGCGCGTGTTATATATTTTCATTTAACCTTCGCGCGATACCTATGTTGTTCTACAACGACGACGAACACTCGTACACTTATGTACGAAAATGATATTCGCTGGCGCGCGCGCGCGCGCGCACACACCATCACCACTTAATCACCATGGGATCTCGGCGATATCGCGAGCCGTACCGTTCGAGTGACCAGTCATCGCGATTGTCGCGAATCGCGCGACGAATCCTGAGCGATGACCGGCACGCGAACAGCCCTTACCTATGATGATTTTCGAGAAAATGCCCACCGCCGCGAAGGTTATGCTGCTCGCGATGTTCCATAACCGAGACGGGTTCCGTAGTTGCGGTATGATCCACTTGATGTCGTATAGCATCGCGTCGACGGCCACCACCGTGCGTGACTATGTGGAGCGAACGGCGGCACGGCGGTTGTCTGAACGATCGGGAAACGGTTTCCCCGCGAGAGATCGTCCGATCTTTCGTAACGCGCGGCAGCCATCTTCGTGCGCGAGTCAGCCATGTTTCGCGACGCGGATCACGTGGCCGAACGTCACCGAGCGTCACCGACCACGGCCGATCTTGGCCGAGTGTCCTGCGTCGCGACGCGACGCAACACCTGATCCGCGAATACCTTCAGATCGGACACGTTCGAAATTCGTTCATTGCGTAGGCACAAGTGTTATTGTCTTAAATTGAGAATTTTGGGCTTGTCACTTCTCCCCTCCCTCCCCCGTCGTGTCTCTAATCACCTGGGCGATGTGATTAATGCGTAGCTCTCATCACGCGCTTTGTGCGTCATGTTTTATTGCGTCCTTGAGTATTTGTAAACCCGCTTTTGAAAGGGATCACATCTCCGTCTTAATCAGCTGGATTTCGTCAGCTATCAATATTATTAAAACATTGGAGAGAGAAATTTGTTTGTTTAATGAGAATCTGAAAAACATATACATATATACATATTTCAAATCGATTCGGAAAAAGGTATACACTGTTTCACTTTAATTCTTTAATTGTTTATGCACGCGGTAATAATTTAAAAAAAATATAAGTATTTTTCTAAACTAGATTCGATTTTATTTGAATTTGTTAGCTTGATTCATATAAATGAGATTAAAGGGAACTTTTAAAAAGATTTAAAAAATCGATATATAAGTAATTTATTGTTTCCATCTCTCTCAATGTAAAAACTTTAATGTTGACAAGATTATTACTCCTAAATCTGCATGTTTAGTGGCCTAATTAAATTGATACCGTGATGGCTCTATTGTCCTAGTTTTTCATTTAATTATACCGTAGGTAAAAGATCGAATCGCGTTTAACGAGAGATGGTGATGTGTAACGAAGCAGACATATGCGGACAAGAACGAAATAACCAGAAAGTGGAAACGAAGCAGAGAAAGGGGAATGACGAAGGGCAAGACGAATACGGAATACTAAACGTGGGAAAAGAAGATAAGAGAATGGGAGCAGGAAGAAAGAAACGAGGGGGAGGCAAGAATACTAGAAGTGCGAGTAAGAGAGTAGGGGGCGTTATGTGTATTATTAAGGGAGAAACACAGACAAAGGAAAAATGCGCGATCCGGGTATAAAGTACATAAATTCACTTAACAATTTCATTCTCGTCCGAGAAAAAAAAGTATAGAATTTTCTCGTATTCTCCCTGAATAGTAAAATGTTATCGTTCTTCTGGAATCTCCTGTAAGTGAAAAAAGCCTCTATACGCGGTTGTAAACAGTGATTGCGAACGTGATTGTTTACGTACTATTTTCCCATACATGTGTGTATGTATCTAACGATAAGTACTAGTCGTTATAAGAGTTATGAATGTATAAAAAAAATACGATCCCCCCCCCCCCCCCCCGAATAAAAATACAAGAATCATACAGATAATTGAGGTCCATTAGAGTAATATTGATTATCATTAATCGCAATTGATTGCATCGTCGTCAAACGCTACGATCTAGAAAAAAACGCGGAGCATCAATCGCCCTTTTTCCTCGAGAGGAGAAGATTAATCGACGTTCCCGGAATCGAGTCACACGAGATCGGTCCTCAAAGAGGCTTTCTCTCGATAATTTTCCGCGAAATGCGCGCAGACAGGCAGTTAACTGCTGGTGGAATCGACACGCGAGCTATCGACTTCGTTCGATCGCACGGTCATTTACGATCACGAGTGAAAATCTACGCGCGCGTGTAAGATAGAGAAGAGAAGCAAAGCGAGAGAGGAAGGAAGAAGGGCTCGCGCGCGCGCGAGAAGAGAAGATACACAATGATGCGAGAGAGCGTGAGTCGCGCTCGAACATCGTAGCGGGAAGGAGAGAGGGGGGAGGGGAGAGAAGGAGAACGTCCAGTGGCATTCGGGACGTTGGATGGTGAAGCAGAGGGTGGGGGAGAGGGAAGGAGAAGAGATCGACGTGAGGAAAGAAGCGGCAACCAGTCGAGGCGCACTTCACGGAGTGGGGAGTTGGGCCTCATCTCGGCGGCCAGTTCGACTCTCGGGATCGGTTGACTCTGCGTGTTGGCGCGCCATCGAACAAGGCACCCTTGGCAAGTACATCGGTGCGCGATCACGTCGGCGAACACCGCACACTGCGTGTGCGCGGTGATCGGTGACGATCGACCGATCGCCGAGTGCGCGCCTCTTTCTCGCTACGTTCAAGTTGCTCGAAAAAATTCACGATCGGATGCAATTTTTCGTGTCTCCTTTTCCATTTTCTCATTTCAATCAGCGTGACAATTATCAACGCTATTCGGCGACGTTGAGGCGCGTCCTCGCGAGCCGGGTGCTGGCCCGGAGAATCATTCCGGGAATCTTCCGATTGATCCTCGGTCGATTCGCCGGCTCGCGTCGCAGTGAAGTTGTCAGCGATTCTTCGAATTCGGCAGTTTGGTAACGAACGTTACCTCGCGCGCGCGCGCGCGCGCGTGTGTGAAGGAATATCGAGAAAACGAGTACGCAAGGGAAAAGGTGAGTCGCGAAGCCGACTTTGAACGTTCGGCTCGATTCGCGTTTGACGTGTCATACGGTGATGCCGCGACGATGCTCGGGCCGTCATCGTCGTCGTTCGCAACGACGGTCGCTATCCCACGGTATCGCATGGCGCTACGGTGGCCCATGGTGAATTCGCGGCGCGACGATTACGGTGGTGCGGCGGCAAGTGCAAGTGCAGGTGCGTCGTCGGTTCTTCGTCCTCCCGATTCCCGGCGGGACACGTGATCGTGTCCTCGATTCTCGGTAATCGTACTCGAATCGAGTTACTCGAGAGCTTGATGCTCGGTGCTTTCTCCTTCCTGGAATCGGTGACACGAGAGCGCGAGCCGTTCCCATCCACCCATTGCGCGCAACATCAACGCAGGATCGCGCATATCGCGGGTACATCGCGGAACCGCAGCGGGGGCCCGCATCCTTCGCCGGTGATCTCGTTGGACCACGCGACGCTCCCATTGGCGTCGCGCTGCGGCATAAGGAAAGCAACAGGTATGTACGGACGCATATATGTATGTATGCATGCATGCATGCATGCATGCATGCATGTGGTTCCGCATGAGATTCTTCGAAGCCGCGCGCTCGCTCTCGATCGCAGATATCGCGCAGGGCTCGCCTCGACTTTGCTTTGCCTGACTCGGCGGCGGCGTCGGCGTCGACGGTCATGGAACGCGTGCGCTCGCCTCTTTCGTCGCGGAAGAAACGGCGAAGCCTGGTGCGGTGCGCGAAGATAAGACGCATCTCGCGTCGCGATCGGCGAACCGCGTTTTCTAGACGATGGGATGTGGGATGGGGTTCTCTCGCTCTCTCTCTCTCTCTCTTTCTCGCGGAACGGAGTCTTTGTGCTGGGAAAACTCGCGAGTCATAGTTTGCCGACTCCTGGTGAACCGACGCCGATACCGCGCCGAGTCATGAGAGGCGATCCACTGCGAGGATTTTAATGGGCCCCTGTCAGAGATCTTTAACCCTGAACTTGACAGTGTATCCCGCAACAAATAACTTTATTGTCCGCTGTCTGGGTTTATGATTTCTCATTTACAATGAGAAACGCGTCTGTTGAAATGTTCTTTAGAGATTAAATTTTTTTTAAATATACATTTTTTTACTTTAATCGTTATTTGTCTCTTTCATAAATAGTAAATTACAGAAAAATTTCTCTGAACGAGTAAGAGAGTTCATTTGTGAATTCTAATATATATATATTCTTTATTCTTTTAATATGACATTATTTTTTAGTTTGTTTTTTTTGGTCAAGTTTCGGGTTTATCCTAGTAGTTTTTCATTGGTACCAATCCTGTGATATTTTCATGTTGAAAATTTTAGATCGATTTAGTCTGGTAGAAATGTAGATGACTATTAACAAAACTTAACATTTTTCGAATTGTTGAAAAAATTTAATATTAAAAAATTCAATATATTAAAAAGTTTAATTATAAAATATTTAATCTTTCTCGGCAAAAGAAGAACATTTATTTTTCTTCACAAAAATTTTTTTCGTGTTATATATATATATGTTACTGCTTGATGAAATAGAATCGTATTTACATCATAAAACTACTTTTACTCATATTCAGGCAACGTGTGATTTAGCATTAGACTCTTCACGAAATTTAAGCTTTAATTAAAATTTACAATTACTTCCTAAAAAAAAGACTTACGTCCTTCACAGAAATTTATATAATTCCCCCTTCTCTATTGTTGTTCAAAATTGAATATATTTATATACGTATACTAAAATTAGACCGACAAACTTCAGGTGGTTATAAAGGACATCAAAACAAGCTAATTTTGCCAATAAACCCATGTTCGCAAATGAGCCGTTTTGGCACTAACAATAAGAGAATCAAAGACTAACAAGGGTCAAAAACCTTTGCAAAAAATTATTATTTTAAAATTTTATTAATGTGGTTAAATAGAGATGTTTTCACCATAACATTTTTGTATAAAACATTTTTTGATATCTCGAATAATTTATCGAGATATATCGAGAAAAGCCGCTCTACATATGAGAGGTGATTTCACCCCTTAGAATTTTTGGACCGCAATTGGAAATTTCTAAATTCATCTACCTCCCCCCTTTACATGTGTGTAAAGTTTCATCAAAACCAGAAGTTTCGGGTTCGCGAAATTCCCTTGTTAGTCTTTAATTCTCTAGTGTCAAAATTCATTTGCGGACACGGGTATATTGGCAAAATTGACTTGTTTTAGTGTCCTTTATAACCACCTGAAGTTTGTCGATCTAATTCTGGGACACCCTGTATAAGACATGTTTATAATGATATGAATATAAGGATTAATTTAAAAGTCAAATTTCTTTTTTATCAAAGCCATTTAAAGAAAGATCGATCATTTATCCTTTCGTCATACGCGCGAGCATAATCGTTAAAGAGTTAATCTAGCCGAAAAGCTTCTCTCCGCGAAAACGAGCGTCGGAAGCAGCAGTCCCTCCGGCCAATAAGCACATGCCACCTGCGCGGCGGTCTCGAAACGGGCATTCGAGGGTCATTCAGGAGAGACGAGTAGACGAGAAAGGAGAGACCACCTACTCTACCTCTCTTAGAACGTTAATTGGTCGTTTCACGAATTATAAAGCACAAGGGGGGGGACAGAACACTCGCGGGGCACACTTGCTATCGCGTCCATTAACATGCCTGCGTTCGCGCTATCGTCGACGTCGTTTCTTCTCGCTTAAACGTTAACGACGTAAAAAGATACTAATTACACCGTGAGAGCTGCCGCAGTTTCTTCTCCTTCCTTTTCGGTCGCGTAGCCCGCTTTCCTTAATTCCCGCGCATGTTTCACTTTTGGGCGAGAAACGTGAAACGGTGTAATGACGGTTAATGACGGGAGTATTTATTTACTTTTACGGCGCACTAAGAAAGTCGAAAACTATGATTTTCTCGATCGGATTTCGAAAATGACGGCGCCATCGACGGGACGGGACTCGTCGATGCGGAAAATTACATCTGGCGTGCGAGCGCGCGAGGCACTCGTTGTTTACTCGAGACAACCAGTTCCCAAACTAGTCCGAGTTAATAACGCCCCCTCGCAGGATGCAGATATGCATACGCACACCGAGAGTGCGTAAATTATCCTCGCGCGCGTTTCATTGCGGAATTAATTCTCCGTATATGTGCGCAAGAGAGAGTGAACGGTATCGTAAATTTTCGATAAATGGCACTCGATTCCCCGACACACGATCGCTCGTGTGACAAAAGGATACTTGGGAAATGAGATGGCTCTTAATTAGTCCTCCCTTCCCTCCCGTCGCGCCGCCCTTTCAGCGATATACCGGTGGTGTTTTATTTGAGACGTTTTTTCATTCGGAAGATAATTAGATTTGATATTGAAAATTATAACGCGATACCTTTCGCAGCATTTTTTATGCGAAAGTAATTATCTTTTTATAATACGAGGAAAGAGATTTATAAATTGGTATATTGCTTAATCACGCATGTTGACAAGTCTTTTTTCCTGCGCAGCTTGTGTATTATTGCGAAATTTGACATTTGCCAACTTGTTGTTATGGACTCTATTCAAGACAACATACGCGCTCGCGGGATGAAACTGTCGTTCGGACGCACGTTCGGATCCTTACGTGTACAGTGGCAATGATTCGCATTATAATGCGTATACGCGCGAGATGATGCGAGGAACGTTCGTAAGCATGAGTCGACGATCGGCGGTAACTTTGCGTACGCTTGCGTCGTTAAGACAAAGCTCGAGGCGAGTACGGGTAGGACGGCTTCCTGGTGATCGGTTATATAATACGGCGATCCCTGCTATTCGCGACCATTAACTTATGCACAAAGTAGCGGCCCTTAAGTGAGGCCTCCCTGCTGTCCTTCGTGTTTCAATTTTACCGTAATGTGTAAAAACTGGAAAGATAGGACGCTCTAATTGAAATTCTTTGTGCTTTAGAAATTATCACATGATAATCAAAAAGCTTTTAAAGTACATCTATTTTATCGCATCAATATTCTGTGATAAAAAAAAATATATATTTTTTTTTTAAGTAGATAGAAGTATCGAATTTTGATTTTCTACAAATATTAGATAATTTGAATTATAAAATCGAATAAAAACTAGTCTCACGTGATTGCTATACACATTATATGATATATAACATAATATATATATTTATATATGAAATATATATTATACAAAACAAAATATATAATTAAGTATATATAATATATATTTTCTGAAAATTTTGATATAAGAGAGATTATAACGGAATATATTAGATCGCAATGAAAGTTCGCATAACGACGTTACCCAGATAGCAAAAGTAGCCATTTTGATGTTATTTTGACATCAAATTAGGTCAAAATAACGTCCAAAACACTACCTTTGTTTACCTGAGTAGTTGGTGAATGTAGACGCGCGCGCGAACGATACAACCGCTAATAAATTTTCGCGAATCTGGACAGAGGTATATATTTAGCGCGGCCAACATTCGAAATCTCTTTTCGTGCTTTGTAATCTAACGGCCCGCCAATGACTTATGAACCAACACGGGAAGCTGCGCGGTCGTTCACTTGCCATGGAATAGACTTAACTTCTTGTGCGACTTCGCGGTCAAGGAACTGAATTACCGAGTGTAATTTGTAGCGGTGGAGAGGCGCAGGCGTCAGCTGTAGCTCCGCGGAACATTCTATCATTCAATTCCGGTGATGATATTAAATTTCAATGGCTTATTGTGGTCCGGCGCAGGTAGATAAAGTCTGGCGTCTTTTATCGCCGTTAGAGATTCCACGGTTATTTGAATCGAGTTCAAATTGCAATTGTATCTGACTTTTTGTGGATGATATACAAGAGATAGGGGTATATACAATGCACCAAGATAGTCGACACTTCCCTCCCCTCATACAGCGTAACGATATTCTCTATAATGCTTGAAATGACTAAAATTGTAATCATATAATGCAGTTATAATTTACAGGGTTATTTATTATTTCCGCCAATCAGGGTTATTTATGTAATTACGGGTTATTCGTCATTGGAAATTAAAAGTATTATTAAGTTTTAGGTACAGTAAAATAAAATCGAATTGAGTTCAATCTAATAGAATTATTTTTATTTATGAATAGTGAATTTTTTTTTAAATTTTATAAATAAAAGATAAAATATAAAAATATTGTAAAATTTAATTATTTTTTAAACTATTAAAAAATACAATTATAAAAACAGCAAACAGAGGTCATTCTTTTAGAAACGTTTAACATTATAAGTATTGGCATTGGTATCGAGTTATAATATTGAAAATAGTATGCATATTAATAAAGTTTAAATTCTTTTGTAAGACTAAATAAACTTTAGAATTCTACTTGTTTAATATTTAACTTAGATTAACTGCAGGTGCTGCTTTCTCATTAATTCTTGCAATCAAGTCAACAGCGCAGAAGCAAAAAAATTCCATTGACTGTCCGCTTATAATTCATGATTCCACTCTGTCATCACAGAGGCGGGCAATTTTTATAGAATGCGCA